GTCACAAGTTCAAATATCCTACATTTTTCAGTGCAATTGAGGTACCAGCAAATTTGAGGATCATAGTTATTGTTATTGCTAGCTGATGTGGGTGTCTTGATCTCCAATACATGGGCATGTTCAGTTACATCAGCAGTCAATTGGATGGTGACCCTGACATGCTTCACACTTGGTATGATGCTCTGCATGAGTTCTAACTTGGGGATGTGCCAATTGTTGATGGGCTTGTTTCCCTTACCATTTTGTGCACTGTGATCAAGTATTGACTGCCTGTGTGTGTGAAACTCATCCAGTGCAGAAGATATTATACGAAGATCATTGTCATCAATGTGGTAAGCTTGGACATGGTATCAGAAGTCCATGAGCACACAAATAGCAGTAATAATTTTGGGAGGGGCTGCTCCAGTGATAACACCAACAATGTAACATTGGACATCATGGTGCACATGTCCAGTCACCTGCTTCAGCTTAGCAACACCACCTTTAAAGTGATGGAACCCTGCAGTAGGCTGTAAAACTGAGAAGCAAAAGTTGATTTCAGCTTCACCAACTGCATTTATGCACCACTTCATGTTGTGGTCCCAAAATTCCTTGTGCAGGTGGTGAAGGGGCTCTGGAGTTATAAAAGTGCTTGGACAAGAAAGTGGAATGTCCCTCCAAAATGGGTCACTAACTCCACTGAGGTGAAAGTGCTGTGCTCCACAAAAGAAGACTTGGATGTTTGTAGGGTGGACCTTCAATTTCACTGCTGCAAGCTGAGCCAAAGTGGTGGACATGGTTCATGGCTCATGTTGGAATGGGTCTCCTAACTGTTTGTACATTCCCATGGTGATTGGGGAAGTCTTTCCCCCAACAGCTGCAAGCATGGCAGCCTTGGGAGTGTCAGTGATATAACCCATGATTGGCATGAAACAGTGCCACATGTGCCCCAGAGAATCCAGTAACATAATGCCGAGTTTGGCAGCTTGCTTGATGGGTTCAAGTATGATATCCAGGCATTCATGAATGAGCCTATCTGTGAGGAGGCTGCACATATGCTTGTTCTTGTGCATGAACTTGGGGATGGGGAGGAGAGTGGTGAGCACAAATGAGTTGGATGACAGTTTTAGGCATGTGGACATCTTGATATTTGCTAGGCTGATGAGAAGTGGATGAGCAACTCTGCCACCACATAAAGTAGTAATATTCATCTTGTCTGAAGAAAGTATTGTGCCAAGAAGAGTTGCTCTGCTCAGAAGCTGTGACTGGGGTATGTCAATTGAATAAAAGGATCTATAACTTGCAGTGGAAACATACCTGCATACACCAAGCATCATCAGCAGTCATCCACTCTGTATACACCCTACAAAGCTTCTCAGGCATTTTGTACACATGCCTTGGAACAAAATCGAGCTGGTCAGAGAACAAAGGGTGGTTGAGGAGCCATGCAATGCATTCTGGGGGATCATGCCAGTACAAGTGCACAGGGTGTTTGGTTGGCTGTGAAGGAGTAATCTCCATTGAGCACCAGCACAGCCAACCAGGGAGTAACTCAGCCAGCCCATGAAGTGCTCTGGCTGTATGAAAGGAAATATTTAGTAGCTGTATCTGGTGCATGTCAATAATGATCTTTGGAGAGAATAGGGACAGGCTTACAATTGAAAATGACAAGAAAGAGTCTATAGCTCTCATGCTCAGGCCTGAACAAAGTAACCATGATGCCAGCTCCCATTCATTGTGGGAGTTGAAGTGGTAGTACAGATTTGATGCCCATAGGTTGCTGAACTGGTTGCTGTTAAATTTGTCCATAAACATTGGGCCAAGTCCAAATGTTTTAGCTGTGCCCTTGAAGTCATCTGTGGTTGGCCCCCACATGTCAAATGCCATATGAACAAAATCCAGGTAATTGTGAGTTGCATAGTCATTGGGGTTGGTGCTCATCAGGACATCTTCTAAGTGTGTTGGGTGTTGAGAGTTACAAATGTTCAAGCTCAAAGATTGGAGAGACTCATGAAGGCAGACTAAGTTATTGACCCAGGTATTGCACCCAGAGGACAGCTGGCTCATGTGCATTGTGACAGCACTGTGACTCTGGAGGCTGCCTTTACTGCAACTTGGACAGCAGGGCATATTCTAGATGGTCAGGCAGGCTGATTCTGTGTTATGTGATTATCACTTCAGTGCAAATCAGGACATTGTTCAGATTGCTATGGAGTGTATTTCTCATATACTACCCAATCACATCCCATTTGCAAACATAGTCACTCATGTCCATTTATAACCTCAATCACACACACCTTCATGCTGGATTGACCATGCCCACAGTTGAGTGTTACCTGGGTGGCAAAGGACTGCCCCATAAGCCTCATGATGGTGGGTTCTCTTCCTGCAACAGCCCCTCTAGCAGTGCCAAGGTCAAAGCAGAGACAACTGGTGTCTTAGCTGAGATGTATGGAATATTGGAGTTGTCCACTCACACAGTAAGTTCTTTTTTTCCTTCCTAATAACCGCTCATTGATAGGTTTTCAATCTGCAGCATGAATCAAAGAGTCAGCTGAATCATGTGGCACTTCTCCTTCTTGATGTAGCATGTGCACAATGCAAAGTCATTTGTGTGGAACAAGCTCTGGCCACATGCATCACCCATGAATATGAATCAATGGCCAAGTTGTACAAGTACAAGGTGGGCAGTGGTGAGGTGAGAGTCCATGAAAAAATGCAGACTGGGGGAGCCTATTTTCGATGTTAGTGTTCTGGCTGGTGAGCTGCAGCCATCTCTCAAGTCTGATGGTATGCTATCTCACTCTTTTCTTTTGGGCTGCTATTTTACTTATGCCAGATCTTGATAGGCACAGTTATTGAGCATGCTGGTAGTCAAATACTCACCATTTGTCTAGACTAGTACTATCCATTACTTTCCTGTACTTATCAAAAAATGCTGTATGTTATGTCTGTGTGTTGTTGCCTTCATGCATAGGAACAAAGTTAGATCTACCAAGTTCTCTACTACAGTGGGAATCTAGGTTGCTGTATTAGCTAGGTGTGTCTGTTCCCTTGTATGCTAGGTAGCTATTGATCTTTGGATTGCTGGTATCACTGGTGTGGCTTACTCAGGTGCTATGAGTTGCTTGGATGCTGGCCACTACTTTGGGCAAGTCTGGTGTAGTCTACTCTGGCACTATGAGTTGCTAGGATGCTTGACATTGCTTTGGACTAATATGGAATTGTGCAAATACTATGGGCAGCTATGAGTTACTAACACATTTTTGTGTTTTGCTGATGATGAACATTGTGGGGAGGAAAAACACTGGGAGGATGGGTGAGATGCATAATGTAGAGCTGCAGTGTCCAGACAGCATCAACAGTACCCAAGTGATCCTGCATTTCACACCTCTGGATAGCTCTGACATTTGCAAGTTTTCTTTCTATTGAAGTATCTGGCAGGTGCAAGGCATAGCCCCTCCCCCCTCTGCACATGACTGGAGTTAACAATCTGGTATGATCATGAATGACAAAGAATTTACAGACCTGGGCCTAATGGTATCCAGGAATGTGCCCTCTCCTGTGGTCTATGGTGTTATGGCCTTTTTAGGCTTTCCAACAGATGTCACATCAGCTCCAGAAGACCTCCTCCTACTTGTCCACAACTTATTGGCTTCCCCAACTACATTCACAAGATCTCTGCATGTATTTTACTTGCCTTCATGTACTATACTTCCTGCTTATTCAAACCATGCAGGAACTTCGTCCTGGGCTGCTCCATACTATGTTTTCCACATGTATTATACCAGCCTCCATGTACTGTAGCAAGACAACTATGCAACTGCTGACACTTGCAAGCCTGCTGGCAGCATTTTCTGAGTGTATGTAGTACATCAACACACATGAGTTGAAGCAAATTGCTATGCAAAACTGAATTGCAGTAACTGGCAATACATCAGGAAATTAACACATTACTATTTTTGACCTTTTTGTGACTTTTTTTTGATGTTTTTGTGACTATTGTGACTATTTGTGACTTTTTGGGAAGGAACCTACTATCTGTAATTTTTTTTTGACCATATACAGCATTTTGAAGAATGAAAAGAGAATAGAATCTAGTGAGACAACTAAGTGATGATATATCTAAGCCAAGAAGACTAGAAAATGTCTGAAAATTCAGAGATATTGAGCCATTGGTGTGATGCACACTGTCTGAGAGAAAAATCACAATATCAGTTAACCCCAGAGTTCCCACCCTCAACACATGACTGGGGAACCAGCCTGACATGATCAACCCTGACAAAGAGTTTACAGACCTGGGCCTAATGGCATCCAGGAATATGTGAGTGGAATCATTGAGTTCACTGCAGTTGCATCATGTGGGTGCACACTTCTGCCCATTTTATTGGCTTGGCATTTTCTGCCAACACCTCAACTAGTACAAATAAAGATGAAGGCAATGTGTGCATACTTGGTAACTCAGAAAATATATAGAGATGGGCTGGAGACAGATGTCATCAGGTAGGAAAACAGAAAAGCTAAGAGTCAGCCACAGAAGTAAATGATCAAGAAGAAAATGACTGACCTTGCACCCTCCACTTGACAGATGAGCTGGATGGTGTGCCAAAGCAAGCCTGCAGTGATGGGAGGTAACAGACCCCATGTAGTCCATTTAGTCACAACATATAGGTAGCCTGCATGCTGAAATGCCAACAGATATAGACCCCACAATGGGCCTGTCTAAATAGATTAGCCATGACACATGCACAGGCCTGAGGGCCTATAGTGAGAGCAAGATATGTACAGGCCTGTTAGCACAATTCCACAACATATGGGAGGGCCTGTGGAGGGTAAGGATGCTGCAACATATAGACAGGCCTGTGACCAAGTAAGTATGCTGAGCTACTGTAAGACATGGATGGGCCTGTCCATGGTAGGGTGTGCCCCAGTCACAATATCAGGATGGGCCTGCCTATTGTATCATGAAGAAGGTCACAACATATGGACAGGCCTGCCCATCATATGCTTTATAGGGTCACAACATAAAGAGGGGCCCCTCTATGATAGATTACAGAGTTGGCAACATATGGAAGGGCCCATCTTTGGGATAATATACCCCTGTCACAACATATAGATGGGCCTGTCCATAGCAAGATGTGCACCTGTCACAACATAAGGATGGGCCCATCAGTAATATCATTGACAGTGTCACAACACATAGATGGGCCTGTCTAGTAAGATGCACCCATGTCACAACATAAAGACAGGCCCATCAGTAATATCATTTACAGTGTCCCAACACATAGATACGCCCCTGTCCCAACATAAGGATGGGCCTGTCAGTAATATCAATTACATGGTCACAACACATGGACAGGCCCATCAATAGCAACACATATGCCTGTCACAACATAAAGACAGGCCTGTCAGTAATATCATTTACAGTGTCACAACACATAGACAGGCCTGTCTAGTAAGATATGCCCCTGTCCCAACATAAGAACAGTGTGAGTCAAAGTGTGGTTCAGTGGTGAAAACCAACCAAAACCAACCAACACAAAAGACAAAAAAGAGTGAGTGGTGGTGTGCCTATGCAGTACCTAGATGGTAGAACCTGATCTTTGGGAGGGTTTTTGCAAGCTATAACACTCAAAGACAAGTGCTGAGGGTTGGGGGTGCTCCTGATGAAGAAGGAGCAGGAATGCAAGAGAATGTGATAGGGTAGACTGCTGTCAGCCTACAGAAGGATGGATGACAACTTAATTCAATGCTCTGAGCTGCACTGAGCTCAGGGAGGACTTGGAGCAAAGTAGATTGATGATAGATGATAATAAGCAAAGTAGATGATAGCTAGACCCTTAATAAAGTCTCAACTATTGAAGCTGATGGAGGATTTACTGAGTGATGATAAAATGTGAGCAAGAGGGGCTCTCTGATGTCTTCTTCTTCTTCTTTTTTTTTGCTATCTAAGTACAGTGATTTATATACAGTACAGGGGTGTTGCCTATGGAAAACAAGGTGCAAACACTTGGTAAGTGATTGGTAACTGATGAGTAAGGAATGTAAGCGATGGGTAATCATCTTGGAAAGCATTGGTAAGCATTGGTAAGGATTAGCAAGCCAAAAAGTGAAGAATCAGTAAGCAAAGTCAAAAGATTGGTAAGTATTGGCAATAGGTGAGTCAAAGACAGTCAGAACATCAAAGTATGAGTCAAGTAATGTCAGGAACTGGGAAAGTGCACTGGAATTGCATGAGGGGGAGGCTGTACATGTCACATCTCAAAGAGATCACTTCTAGGCCAAGGTGGGATGACAGAGAGGCAGCACTGATCTGATGCCAACATAGTACATCCAAAAGTGGACAGGGTGAGTCAGATGTCAACAGGGGTCAAGCTTTGGGGGTCTGTGGGGTGACAGGAGCATAGGGGATCACAATTTTCCACCCCAAACCATCCTCTCAGTGAAGCAAACAAAAACTTCATGAATGAGGCTCTGTTGGAAGAGAGGATGAAGGGGGAGCATTTTCTGCTGTATCTTGCAACAAGGAGGCAAGATGTGCATCATACTCATCATTGATGTGATCAGGGAGAGTGGAGAACAGTAGATTATACTGTAGCTGTCACAATTTTGGAAGAATGATGGATGAGACTGGTATGAAGAAATTGCAGGGAGCAGGGAGGAAGGATCCATATGCTTCTTGGACTGGAGAGACTGAAATGACCACATAAGACCTTTCCAAGCAAATGACAGACCTGAGGTGACCAATGAATGTCCTCCTAGAGGTCATACTGACAAAAAGAACACACTGTCCAAGCTGGATGGGCTGAGAGGGGGCAGACAAGGGTGGGATGTACCAGGATGCTTCAGGACAGAAGCTGGTAGGAACTCCTGGTAGATATATGTAGCCATGGTCCATAGCAAAGGGGACAAGTGAAATGATTGACATGGAGGTGGCCATATCAGAAGAATTAGTGAAATGAGCATCTTTTGGAGGGAGTGCTGTAGAAATGTGTGGAGTGTGCAAATCCTTTCCAACTTTGGAAGGTAGGATTGCATGGCTGAGCACCACAAGCAAGTGTGGAAATGGTCTCAGTATCTGCAGAAACAGTGGAGATATGTTGAAAACTGGAATGCTGTACATGGGTGCTTAACTCACTCCCTTTCATTTTCTTTGGCACTGATGGCTCATTCTTGTGCAAGGGATGACTGCTGACATTTCTGGCTGTCCTTCTTCACATGAGGGCTATGGTCTTCATCTCCATTCATCAGCTGTATCCATGTCCACCTCACCAAACACCTTTGGTGTGTGACAGTGGGCCCATCAGTAATATCAATTACATGGTCACAACACATGGATGGGCCTGGCAATAGCAACATGTATGCCTGTCGCAACATAAAGATGGGCCCATCAGTAATATCATTTACAGTGTCACAACACATAGATGGGCCTGTCTAGTAAGATGCACCCCTGTCACAACATAAAGACGGGCCCATCAGTAATATCATTTATAGTGTCACAACATATGGAAGGGCCCTTCAGCAGTATCATTTATGTGGTCACAACATAAGGACAGGCCCCTCAGCAGTATTATTTATATGGTCATAACATATGGATGGGCCCTTCAGTAATATCTTTTATATCACCATAAAACAAGGGTGGTTCTGTCTAGTAAGATCCACCCCTGTTGCAACATAAGATTGGCCCAACACCAATAGCACATATAGCATCACAACATATTGATTGGATCACAGTAAAATATTGAGGCACATGTCCTGACATGCCATAATTTTCCAACAAGCTGCAAGTGGCTCTCCTGCTATACAACTCTGACCTCATCCACCCCAAGCATGAATACTACACAAGACATGTCTTAAACCCCCCATGGATGGAAAATGGAACTAACAGACTGCATTGCATCATACATGAAGGCCAGATTTCAAGAGGTATTCAGTGGACCTTGCACCCTTCCAGATAGATTGATTCTGTTTCTGGCATTATGTGAAGCAGGTTGCATATTGTCAGTAATCTCACAGGCATATTGTCACCCAAGGAAGTCCATCATAATGGTCTGATGGAAGTTTTCATCTTTCTGCAGTCAGAAAGATTGGGGTGGAAAAACCTGCAATCCAGAAGCTGCTGAGAGATACACAGAAGTGACTGAGCCATCCATTCTGTTGACTGACTCAAACACCATCTGCATATGGTATTTTCTGGACACTCTCAGCCCAAAAAGAAGGGTAAGGAAATGCAGAATCTCATATTCTACTGACTTAATGGAATGGCAGGCCAATGTATGGAACTGCCTTCATCTTCTGAGGGAACCACTACAGGAGAGCATAATGGCTTCCACACAGGCATGGTGGATGGACAAGTCATATTTCTGCAATAATGCTGAGTTGAAAGGTGCCATCAACCTGTCACTCACATGGTTTCAACAGGGTCATGGGGTGGGTGATCATTTCTTGCCTTGTGAATAAAGTGCTCATCTGTCTTGAAGCCCCAAAATAGCTTCCTAGAAGCCTCATGGCTGCTCAAATCCAGGACAGAAAACACTTCTACAAGGGAATGGGTCAACCAAATGTCCAACACCAATGCCCTGTTATCTGCAATCCTGCATGTCATTCATCCACAAATGTATGCAGATGGCAGAGAAGCATTGATCTGCCTTGGTGAACAGGCAGTGTAGGAAATGGATTTAAACAGGAGAGTGAGGGGAATGATGAGATCTGAGGGGAGAGAGTAGGCCAAAAGGGGCTTCTATAGCCTGGGACTGGATCCTGGTAGTCATCTGAAGGCTTCTATGGCTGTCTTGGTGCAGGGAATGACCTGCTCAATTTCATCTCTCATCTGTGGTAACTCATCTATTATTTCTAAAGGAAAAAACCATACACAAGTAGCACTACTACTGACTAAGCAACCAAAAATGCGAAATCTAAGTGCAACTCATAGAAAAAAGTATCTAGAATGAAAATGAAGTAAAATGAGCAAAATAAGGCAATTCCCCTGGTAGGGAAATTACATTCCCTACAGCAGAACAGCAGGCAGATTTGGATATGAGCTCCATACTGCCAATATGGAGCTCCACATATAGCAGCATGTCTGTGATGGTGAATCAGGCAACTTGTTACCACAGGGATATCAATGGATGGGATCCATGGTATGACATGCTGGTAACCATGGGTGACTACCCACCCTTGGACTTTGTCATTCCAACATTGAATCTGCAGCTGTGCTACAACCCAGGGACAATCATTGATTTTCAGGTTCAGCATTGGAGCATGGGGTGGGAGCTGTAGACAGTGACAGAGCATGCCTGGCATACTACATGTGTGCCAATGTACATCAGTTGGTGCATGTTCCCATGTGTCAATCATCACAGATGGACAACCTACTACCTAGAGCAGTTGCAACTGGAGAACTGTTGATTTGAAGCTGCAAAATTTAATGTAAGATTTAGCATCATATTTTATTAGGATATGCTGGCTCTTGAACTTTGGATGGGTGGTGTTGCCAAGATTTTGCAAATGGGTGGGTGCCTTGACATCATAGATTGGGCAGGTACTCAGAGCTAAAGGGTGTGCATCATAAACTGAAACAAAAGTAAACCTACTCAGGCCATCATGCAGATGGGCAGATTGTCAGACATCACACAGATGGGCAGGGGTTCAGACATCATGTGAATGGGTGGTATCTCATAAATGATTAACATTCACAGCAATGTATATACAACCAACTCCACAGTCAAAAACATGTAAACTATTGAAGTGGCATGCCCAACAACCTGCACAATGCCCACCACCTAGTGTAGAAATGGTTGATTTGTTGACCCCAACCATTGACAACATCAGCATATTCCTGAATATTTTTGATGCAGTAGTTTACCTGCTCCTTGATATGGCCATTGAGATGGTCTGTGATTGGCGCCTCAGGCAATGGCCATAAGCCCTGGGCCATCATCAACTATTTGCAGCAACAAGAATAAGTGGCATACCTTAAAAAAATCCCAGGCCATGGAAAATGATCCCTTGCCTTGCAATCATTGGGAATCCACTGTGTATTCCTTGGAATGATATAGCCACAAAGGGAATGTAAAGCCAGAATTGGGATCAGCTGCATGTGGGGTCCAATGCAGGATGATGGTGCTGATATTGTCAATTATGCAAAATGTGCTAAGGGGAATTAGTTGCATTTGATCATGGAAGTTAACCTCATCATCTTGGTGTCTGAGGTATGCATGGTAGCATGCTGGGAGGGGAGGAGTATAACTGGCATGCAACAGCATCACCAGAATCAAGCTATTAAGCTGATTCTGAAGGAATTATGTATCTGTCCCACATTGTGAAAAATTGATGTAAAACCTACCAAGTCCATTGCTAGGTTTGCAAACCAATGTGCAGGCCATCCTGTGATATTGGCAGTCTGCTTCAGATGTACAGAGGCCACCTCAATCCAGCATGCCAAGTAGAGGATACCCATCCCTACCACAGACTGGTGAGATGGGTGTGATTGGCTGGTGATGAATGGCTTGGGACAATTTTCAAAGGTGGAACACAGATAATGAATGACTTCCATCAAATTGAGCATATTGACAAGTCAAAGGCCCTGAGAGGCTGCACCATACTGGTCCCTTGCAGCTGTGCCAAATTCTCTCACAATGGCATTCACAGCCCACACAAGGTGCCTATCAAGGGTGGGATTGAATGGCATGTCACTGGGAGTGGTGTTTTTGCAGTAGCACACTTCAGGTAACCATTTTTCATAAGCATTTAGGCTGAATAGTTTCTCCAAACCATCCAGCCTAATAGCCTCCAAGACCAAGGTCTGCCCAGGGACATCTGGTCATATCCCTGGGCTATGCAGATTTTTAGGCCCTGGGACAGATCGGATTTCCCACATAGCCATCCATTCAAATGCAATTATTTGGGATGTCCCAAGACTGCCTTGGGTGACTGGGGTCCCTACTCCTGAAAGTGCAGCATATATTAGCATTGAAATAGCTGCAGAAATCCTAGCCCCCTTGCTCCTCTGACAGATTTAATCCACAAAGTATCCTTTGACCTATACATCCCCTCCCATCCCGCCATGCATAGTAGTATACAATAGTACTTTTCATGTACATCTTTGCAATGTGATTCTGCTGTATTGGGACATCTCACTAGTTGCCAGGGAGATGACCCACCTGGGCCTCCACATTTGCCTTGAAAATTGCAATAATAAATTCAATCAATTTGTGTCTGTACCTCATGCAATTTGTACTGTATGAAGGAAGAAGTGAATGGTTTTTGAACACTTGTGTGACAAGCCAATATCTCAAAGTCCCCCACATAGAACATGGGGTTGGTCACCTTTGCAACACCATCTGCAGAGGGCAGAATGTCCCAGATGAACCTCTGAGGTCATCATGGGGCATTGTGCTAGTCTGCAAAGGTAACTTAGGAGGATGTGCCATCATAGCCCTCTGAGGCTGGGATGGGACATCCCACTGACTTTCATAAGGGGACTTGGGATGTCCCACCCTCCCCTTTGCCAACCAGTGGGATGTCCCACAACAGCCTCTAAGGCTACATTGGGACATCCCACTGTTCCCTCTGCCAAGCAGCGGGATGTCCCACAACAGCCTCTAAGGCAATGTTGGGATGTCCCACCCTCCCCTTTGGCAAGCAGTGGGATGTCCCACAACAGCCTCCAAGCCTACATTGGGATATCCCACCCTCCCCACTGCCAACCAGTGGGATGTCCCCAAACAGCCTCTAAGCCTACATTGGGACATCCCACCCTCCCCTCTGGCAACCAGAGGGATGTCCCAACACAGCCTCTAAGGTGTTGAAGTAGTAATCTGCACTAATCCTACAAGCACCATAGAGAATCCAATGTAAGGTAGCTCCATAGTCAGAGCAGCTGCTTGACACTGAGAGGGTCCTGGCTCAATGCCAGCTCTTGTCACATTTTCATCAGGTTATGAGCTGCAGCTGGAACCCATGCATGCTCAGTACAATGGGTCATGCAGCATCCTTGGTAAGTCCAGATCATGTGAGTTACATGGACACAAGGTGGCTGATAGTAAGGCCTCCTGGAAACACAGCAGTAAATCCTGATCCATCACATGACACAAGGTCAAAAGGCAATCAGACCATTTACATGACCCTAGGGGGTGTGCACTGTTTTTACACTCCAAAAGTGGCCAGATGAAGGGACCACATCGGAGATGGTGCATTCTGTGCATTGACTTCATGGAGATATGTTCCCACAGTGCTAGTCTAAGCCCCCAAGCTACTGACACTAGTACCCAGACTATATGGCTCAGTGGTTGCAGCACCTGGTAAACACCTAGGAGGTCACTGGTTCAATCTTAGGACTGGTCACATTTTCCTCATAAGACTACTTTGGGACATCCCTCCCCCCCTCTGACAAGCAGTGGGATGTCCCACAACAGCCTCTAAAGCTACATTGGGACATCCCTCCCCCCCTCTGGCAAGTAGTGGGATGTCCCACAATTGCCTCTAAGGCTACATTGGGACATCCCTCCCCCCCTCTGGCAAGCAGTGGGATGTCCCACAACAGCCTCTAAGGCTACATTGGGACATTCCTTCCCCCCCTCTGGCAACCAGGGGGATGTCCCACAATAGCCTCTAAGGCTACATTGGGATATCCCTCTCCCCCTCTGGCAACCAGTGGGATGTCCCACAACAGCCTTTCAGGCTATGTTGGGACATCCCAACCCCCTTTGCAGAAACCAGTGGGATGTCCCACAACAGCCTTTCAGGCTATGTTGGAACATCCCATCCCCCCTTCCAGAAACCAGTGGGATGTCCCACAGCAGCCTCTCAGGCTATGTTGGGACATCCCATCTCCCCCTCTGGACACCAGTGAGATGTTATACAAATGCCACAGAGGCAAATGTTGGACATCCTACATCAGTAAATCACTTTTGCTGGCCAGAGCTGTCCAGAGCTGTCCAGCACTGGACAGATTCCCTAGGACTACCAGCTCACAAAGTGGTCTACTGATGTACCCTGTATCTCTGACATCCACATTGCCCTCTGCCCACAATTGGGATATATATTGTCACATTGTAACAGGCTCAATCAATGGCACCAATCAGTTCAAGTCAGATCACCATAATTTTTGGAGATTCAGAATCAGGGCAATAAGACACAGGTCTGCCTTGCAGATGTCCATTTCACATATAACCAAGATTGAGAGCCCATTATTGCATAATTCTTCACATAAGATTCATATCCTTTGAGCCCTGTGTAATTTCTAGAGAACAGTACCAAAAAGTATGTGCAGAGATGAAAAGTCAGTGACCAGATGAGCAGTGAGCAGTGAATAACTGCATTTGAGTGGGTGTAGCCATATGCATGAGTAGTTGCTGACATGATCAGGTTCACTCAATGCTGTGCTCCAAATGTCCTACACATATCATTGCTTGAAATAGTCATGGCACCCAAAGAATGCTATTCAAATTGTATCCAGCAATCATACTCTGCAGGTCTCAAGTGTTGTATTATTTCTCAATCTCATGTCCTTCTACTATGATTTTATTGCAAGCAAGTCTTGAGATGTGAGGCAAGGGGACACAGGTAGGGGGTAGCACATGATTGGTAAGCAGCCACCAAGTGTAGATAAGACTATACTAGGTGTAGAACTTCAGATCACAACAACACACCGCATAATTGCATAAATTTTTGGTACTGTTCTCTAGATGATACACAGGGCTCCAAGGGTATGAATCTTGTGTGAAGAAATATGCAATAATAGGCTTCCAATCTTACTTATATGTGCAATGAACATCTGGAAGCAGAGGGCTCTCTACTGCCCAAAAAGCATTGAAAGCCTGCTGGACAATTGATGTATAGAAGACCACTATTGGTTTGCTAAGGTGCACAGATGCCTAGATCACTTGCAATTTTGATTGTATATGTGAAATCAGCCTATGCCTTTTCAGACTTATATAGTACTAGAACTAGTCTAATTTTTACACCAGGACCTACATCTAATTTCCCTGATTCTGAATCTGCAAAAATTGCAGTGATCTGACTTGAATTGATTGAGATATCAAAGTTGTAACATTTAGCTACTACATGTGTGTGATTTTGTTTATTTGGCCTTGCTCTCAGTTTTGAAAATAGCTGTAACATGAGGAGCAACAAGGCACAAACACAGTAGCTAGGACTACAGGAATTGTATATACAGATTGAGGCATCATGTACAGTGCCTAACAGCAATGGACATGTGATGGACATTGGTACCATATGTGATTTGACCCTGGACTGCCCCTAACAAAGAGTTGATAAGTGGCCAGTACTGAAATGTAACAGTAACAGCTGGGGTGACTGACACAAAACTATGGATGCAGTAGAGGACTCCCAGGCAATCAGGGAGAAAGAGGGAAAATGCCAATTGGATCACCTGATCCTGAGGTATATGCTAAACCACCTTGAAACCCTTCAAACACAAAAGCAGGAATATCTCAACAATGAGCAAGCAGAATTGGGTGAACAAGGGCACCCTGGAAATGGGTCAGTGAGAGGGATTTGTGGCTCAAAAAGTGAGAGAAGCAGTGTGGATATGCATGAGGTACAATGAGAGGACCTCAAGGGGTGGGCCTTGCCACAAAAATGTGAACATCTCCATAACTACTGCACCAATCACAATGATCTAGACATCTCCTGGGAGTCATCATCTAGTAGTGCGAGTCTGCAAAAAAGCAGGAGATGTGTCAGAGAAACCACTGAGATACAGCCCCAAGATGATAGTGGTAACTGCAGGCAAGTGAACAAGCAGGTGACGACCTCAGGACAACGGCTGGGGTGATTGACACAGGCCTCAGGAAGGTGGTTGGGTACTCATAGATAAACACAGAAAAAAAGGAGCCACCATGATCAGACCATTGGATCCTGAGCTACATGTGAAACTGTCTCACTGCCCTCCAAACACAAAAATGGTGATATCTCAATAGCAGCTCCATGGAATTAGACAAAAGAGGCCCCCCCAGAGAGGTCTTGGAAAGGGGAACAAGTGGTGCGAAAAGCGATAGGAAAGGCACAGGACTGAGTGGAGAGCCGCAGACTTGTCCCCCAAATCTGATGGTAGCATCATCACTGACACCAGAGACATTGATATACAAGCAGTGCATGACAAATATGTTGTAGGGGAAGCAAAAACTACACTAGTATTAATCTTCATTTATATACTCCTCAGCAAAGTTGTCCTCATATTGTGCAGCATTACCCCTGTTAACCCAATGAGGTTCACCTGACTGGGTTGGAGGGTAGTAGTCATCAGTATATGGACCATTGTAGTAAGGATGGTTGGTTTGAGATGGAATGCAATGGAATCCTTGGTGAGATGGAGGAAATTGATTGCAGTGGCCAGAAGGTAATGCCTAGAGAGAATGCAAGCTGATGGTGAAACCTCTGCAAAATTGAATTACTCACATGATATGGGATATTAGATGGGCCAGGATCATGATAGTTCATATGGTCACCCCAAGAATCCTACATAATTTTTCCTTAGTCTTGTTACCAAAGGTCAGAGACCTGGATACTCACTTGTCATCTGGGAAAAGACTGCTGGGCTAGGCTGGCCTCTCACATGTGAGGATGGCTTGGAAGATTATCCCAATGTAGATCCTATATGACACTTCATTAGTCTTGTTATCAGACCATAGGAACCAAACCCTACCCTATATCACAGAGCCAGCACAGGAGGCTTGGATGGGCCAGGCTCTCGAGTGTGCACATTGCTTGGAATTGTGGACAGGTCATGACATGAATCTTGTCCAATGGGGCGCACATCCTGGTGTTGATCATGTGGCACAGTTTGACAGTCAGACTGTAAAGCCTTGCGAATGTCAGCAGATACTGGATATCAAGTAAAGAGCAGAACTTACCTGGGGACCAATAGTATTGCAATTTGATGCCTCCACACAGGGTTGCTTCTGAGAGGGAAAAGGGAGTTGTTGCTGCAGTTGGGGTTGTGGCTGTTGAAGGACCTCTGTGCCTTGCTGCTGGTGATCTGTTTCCTTGAGGGACTTCTGCCACTCTGGATCATCTGAGATCTGCTGCAAAACAGTACCATCGGTAGCTTTGATGAGCACGATCTCACCCTTCAAAGGGTCAGCATCCAACTGGATGAATAAAATAGGGAATACCTTTGTTCCAGCACTTCATCTCAATTTCCAGCACATCATCCAGACTATCTTGTTCTTCCTCATCATCAGTTTGCCCATCATACAAAAGACCCAGTTTTCTGTGAAGGTAAGGTACTACAAGTTGACAAAGAGGGCCAGCCTTAAGTTACTTGTACTTGAAACCAGGGCCTGGTGGAGATACACCATGGGGCCAGTTGACAATAGTGAGGTGGCTCTTCCACAAAAACTCGAGAAGCCAGTGCCAGGAAACTCTCTGGGGATCACCAACTTCAATGCCATGTGTGACTGAGCAAAGGATCAAGATAAATGCATGCACAACAAGAATAACTTACCATGCAGATCTCTCAATGCAGCCAACATCTTCTCCTTCATCATGCTTCTGGATACTCTGTGGTTGTGGTCTCTTGGAGTCTCCTTTGTACAGCAATGTAGTTCCAGCACAGAACCCACATCTCCAATGGAACCAGTGCCAGCCACCCTGGCATCTGCACCATTGCCATTCCTGAGACACCTACAACAATCCAATGAGATCAAATGAAACATGCAAGAAATAAACTTACTTGAAAATCATGGTATACTTATCCATGAGTGACTGGACATCAATGCCATTTTCATTGATGAAGTTTCTCATCATCTTGGAACCTCCAAATATGCCAGAAGTTTGACATCCTGCAGGGTCCTGTCCAACATACATTACTGCTCCAACTATCTCAATATCCTTGAGATTGGACCATGCCTCTGCCTGTGGAATGATCAGAATTGATGGCTGCACAGTTGCAACCACATACCAATCCAGAAAATTGTGTCTTTGCATTGTCCACTCTAGCTGCAATAGATTTGACAGATCAGTTAGTCAGTATGGCAGAGGCGCTCTCACTCCACTCATAGATGGCTTTTAACTTTTCCCTCCTTGCTGTGAAGTCATCCTTGGGGATGCCTATCATGAGGGTGTTGTACTCCTTTGTAATCAAATTGTTGATTGAATTTTGACTAGCTGGTCAGGACGTTAGAACAGTAGATGTGAGAGGGAGGAAAGCCATACCACCATCTGGTTTGGGCTGCATGGCCCAATACCACAAGTGGAAGAGATTGGCCTCATTAATTTTGGTATGAGAAGCCTTAACACTAAATCCCATAGCAATGAGTATGTCATGTGTAGACTGCCTGTGCCATCAGCCAAGTTCTTCTGCCATTGTCTTGACATCCTTTGCAAAAGCATGTATTTCATCTAATGCTGCTGTGGACAGATTCCCCAGCTTCTTGAGGTTCAGGAGTTGGGTGTCATGGTCACTGTGGTTTTGCAGCATCAATGTCCTCAGCACCTATAGCCCTACCTTTGCCCTTCTTCTGAAGTCTAGTATAGATCAGGCCACCTTGGTGAGGATGGACAACATCCCCTACAGGATGGGCAGAGTCATCAGACTCATATGTGGGTGGCAAGGATGGGGGAAGCAGGGACTGGGCACAAGAAATGGTCTGAGCATTGCGAGCACATGCATCATCATCATCTAGGAGTCAACATGTCAACATGAGGCAGATGCATATATAGATGGTAACAGAACAGGATCACAACAATTCTTTATCTATATAACAACCAAGGGAATGATGGGCAGCAGGAAACAGTCATGAGTATCCAAAGCACCAAGCTTTGAAACACAAGTGGGCACCAAGCCCACCATTGCATGACCAGAGAGGCACCAAACCCCAAAATCAAAAGAAATGAGAATTATCTGGAAAAAAACATGAGAGAATGAGGGATATGAAATGGAAAAACCTACCATGGGAGTTGCTCGAGCTCTCCATCTCCTCATTGTCATTGTCATTCTCATTGTAATTGGAACCCTTGTCATAATCATTGCTACTGGGCAGCTGGTCATCCTCTTTCTCACTACTGGATGGCAGGTCATCCTTGTTCTTGTTACTGGAAGGCTGGTCATCCTCATTTTCATTGTTGTTGGGATTCTCCTCCACCTCCTCCATTGCAGAGTCCACATCATGGATTTGGTCGTCCAGGCACAGGGAAGGGGAAGGGAGCATTGGGGTGTTTGCAATGGAAGGATGAGGTGTCAAGGAATGTCTTCTATCTCTCAGGCCAAACATGTGCTCTTCCCAGCCTTTGGGAGGCTGGACTGTGCACCACAGTTTCGGTTTGCCAATCATATCCTTCAGAGTAGATTGCCATGAGTGGAAAATGATGTTAGAGTAATGGATGAGAAAAATACTACAAGACATACCTCTGAGTGTTGCATCCATCATTAGAGACAACAGCACCACCTTTTTTTACTCATTTGGAAACTGGGGCATTTTGTGAGGACAGAATCCTTCAGTTGCGAAGAATGTGAGTGTTCAAGTCAGCAATGGAGTCCCTCAAAGGCTCTGGGATATCAGCAGAGTGGGGCATGGTTGTATGGGGGTGTTGAGAAATGGGGGGAGGCAAGGTGAGTATTTAAGGTCAGAGCACATCAAGCCAAGATGAACCACATCAGAAAAAAAATCTGTCTAGAACATGTTGTCTCAGTGTGCAAAGTTCTGGATATAGCATCAGCAAGGACATATGAAACCATGAAAAGAGGACATGACATAAGGGGGATGAAGGAAAAGCATGCAGGAAAGAAGTGGTTGTAATGCATAGCAAGGATGACACACCTATTAAAATGGAA